AGCCGCGACTGGCCTTCCAGCCCCGCTAGTTTCAATAAAGCCCAGGCTGGAGCCTGGAAGAGCCTGGAAGGAAACTCAGTGTCGGGGAGGCTACTGGACGCGAGGTGCAAGCTGTGGTCCCAAGAGCCTCCCTTTGCCCTTGGTTGGTGGTCCTTGACTTTGCTGCCACCACCAAGCTGAATCCCTCCATTAAAGCAGAGGGCCAAGCATGCACAGAGTACCTCTTTGTCATTTCTCTTAGCACAGCTGAGACCAGCTGGCATTTTCACAAAGGGCTTTACTAAATACTAAGGGAGAACAAAAGGGAAATAATTACAGAAAACACAAAAAACCCAGCCCTGGCTGCCAAGTTCCCAAAGTACAGGTTTCTGATCCTCTGGTGACGACTCGTCGCCCCAAATGCCCGGGACAAGGCCGCAGCACCTCGCCTGGATTCCCTCGTTCACAGCCCTCGTGGCGAGTGCTATCTTGTTTCCTGCCCCTGGGAACCACTTGGTCACCCATGGCCTCAGCCCTTATCTCCCTTCCAACTCAGCCCCACCCTAGGCCTCCCATCGAGTTCTGGTCTCTGGCCCAAGGCATGAGCTTTTTCCCCTGGGGGCTGGCAAGGCTGTGGTGACCAACCCAGGGCATGATTACACAGTAACAGAAGGTTGTCTTCCCACCCTCTCACCCCACCAGAGGGCCCACCCAAGATGTCTTGGGCATGGGGTCTAGGAGGGCTGCCTCTAAAGGCTGAAGGACCTTTGGGCAAAGAATGGGCAGACTTGAGACATTTTCGCTGTGGGTAGAGGAGAGAGTACTCTGAGGATCAGTCCGACTCAACAAACACCAATTAAGCCCCGACTGTGTTTCAGGCACTGTGCAAAGTACTGGGATCCAAGGCAAACGAGCTCGGTCCTCTTACATCTTGTAGTCTGAGGGAAAACAGACAAGCAGCTATGCAGTGTGAGCCTGAGGGCCAGATGTCATGATGAAGGGGCAATTCAAGGCGCTGTGGGAACCTGGATGACGGGCATCTCACCCAGGAGTGGTGGCCAAGATGGCCAATGGAGCTTGCTTAGAAGAAGTGCATGGAGAGAAGGAGAGGGACTCGCAGTTGAGGCTGGGCGGGGCCACAGGAAATCCCAACCTAGGACACCAGAGGGAAAGGCAGAGGAGGCCAACCAAACATCTTGCTGGTGACTTTAGGGAGCAGGTGGCTACAATCTGTCCAGCCTATAAAGTGGAAAGGCCCTCAGCTCTCAGCCCCCAATATCCACTGTTGTTCTCCTGCCAGTTAGGAAGGAGGAGAGTCTAGTCCTTGGATACTCTGCTTCTCACCCGCCTATGGCTGTACCCAGGTCTGGGGCTCAGGCACAGGGTCAGAGGGAGTGTGCTAACCCAGGGCCACCTGAGACACTGCTCTAGCACCAGATGCAGAATGGTCATCAAGGGAGAAGGAAAAGTCATAGATGGGAAATAGTTCAGAGGATCAAGCCAATGGAGAGGCTAGGCCAAAATGGGAAAATGAGTCGGGGAGCCAAGAAATTGGGATGGGTTCAGGCAAACATTTCAGCTAAGACCATGATTAATGTAAGGTGTGGAAAGCCCTGTGTTTTGGGGCAGCTTTGGGAGGCAGAGGCTGGCATGGGCATGTCTTGGGCTAGACCCCATGGCTGCTCAGCATGACTATTGTCATGGCCGAAGCTGTTTCTACAGCCTAGACCCTTGTGTTTACCTTTATTTGCTCCCTGGGACAATGTTAGATCCAGGCCTGTGATGAGGGCTTCTCCCGTCTACATATCAATCTTTCAGTTTGTCAAGCACCCGCTCTGCTCCAGCAAGGAGAAGACCCAGAGAAATTTTGAGACATTGGCCCTACCTTCAAGGAATTTGCAATCTGGATGGTAGAGAGAGCTTCATCAGAAAGAGCTCTGGAGAAAGACTAGGCTGATTCGCATCTCTGTTCCTTCCTTAGTAGCTGTGACTATGGGCAAATTACTTAAACTCCCTGCACCTCTGTTTCTCCATCTTCAAAATGGGAATAATTAAAACCTACCTCACAGGTTTGTTGTGAGAATTCAATGAACTGAGGTGTTTAAAGCACCAGGCACACTGCTTGGCACATAATAAATGCTCAGTAAATATTAGTTCTCTCCCTGATGCAACAACAAATGATTGCGATGAAGAACAGTTAAATGTTGAGTTGTGAACACTGACTCTGCCAATAGATCTACTCAGAAGCTGCAGTGATAACTGGGGACTGATCACCTGGATGGTGATGGTGAGAATTTGTGTGCGTGTGTACACATGTGCACATGCAAATCCCTCCATCCTTTTGCTCCTCTGCAGTTGGCAGAAGCATGAGATTCTTTATTTTCTGTTTCATGCCCGGGATAACAAGGACTCTGCTCTGTACCTGCAGTGTTTTTATATCCCTAATAAGAATCAAGAGTTTATTAGAAATCGTGCCCAACGACTACCATTTCTGTACCCCAGGTGCTTTATCAGTCCTCACCCATGAGGTAAGTACTGTGGTTATTCCCACTTTACATGGAGGCGGCTGGGGCTCTGAAAGTTACTTAAGGTTAAGGGGCTGCTAAGGACTGGAGTCACAGTTCAGGGAAGCAGAGCCACCAGTACACCTGCCCTGGACTGGATGTGAGCAAGAGTTGAATCATTTTGGGGTCTTATTGGTTTCTCCCACCTACCCTGGCTAATTTCACCTCACAACCTAAGAAGCCAAGTTTAGAAGGATATGGTTCCCAGTTTAGTGACAAAAACATCGAGGCACACCTGCGAGAATTGTGGACATTGCCCAGGTATTGAGCTCACTTGGAGCATAAAAAGAGAGCGCTGTGGCATCGTCAGCCATTTGTACCCCACCCCCATGAACATAAACTTGAAGGGAACCACCTCACCACATGCCCAGCACCTGGGGCAGTGCCTGGAGCATAATATGGCTGAAGAAATATGTGTCCATGTACATACACAGTTATAGACAAATATGCCCAATGAATAAGTGCTCAAAACATTCAGTTACAGACAATACAGATACAATACAGATACCTCAATACACACACTCATACACGATATACACCTGTGTCCACATACACAAACACAAATCCAAAATAAATACACTCATAATCACATGCGTATGTATACACAGATGTTATGAACAAACATATATAATCCAGATATGCACGCACACATATCTACTCACCTATACACATGCACAGCGATTCTCAGACCTCTGCTATGACCCCAGGCCCAGGAAGGAGTCTGTCTGCCTCATGAGCCCTAGCATGTTGGAGCTCGTCAAAAAGTTCTTTGCAGCCCCCGCTTAGCTGGCTGGTAACTGGACCCTGGCTCCTGGACCTCCAGGCTTAGGGCTGGCCAGGCAGGGAGGCAGAATCTCTGGCAGTCCCTCGTGGGTGGGCAGGCAGGCGGCGGACGCAGAGGTCACTGGGGTGAGAGCTGGGGCTGCCGAGCCTCTCTGCTTCTGGCTGGAATGTGCGCTGTAGGGGCTGCCTCCCAGGCCTCCCTCCTCTCCCATAGCCACCCACCAGCCCTGGGCCTGGGCCAACCTGTGACACCAAATCCTGCCAGGTTCTTGCAGCCAGAGAGGGTTGGTACATACCACATCATGGAGGAGTGGTGATGAACACTTGAGGACCGTGGAAGGGCACACTCAAACACACAGAGAAATGCATGATCACACAGAGAAGCTGGTCAAGACATTCACACACGGAGAAAGACACAAACAGAAAGACAAAGGCAGACATGCAAATTCACAATCCCACTGAAATGCACATTCAAACACACTTCCAAACACCCCTAGAGACATAGCAAGCACATATACACACATAATCATATGAACAGACAGAGCTACTAAGAGACCAGACTCACACACAAGCAACATTTGTACATGTAGTGGACATGTGCAGAAACTCAGACCACATAGAGACTCACAGCACAGGTAGAGCATCACAGTCACACCTAAATGCCCACACACATGCACACGCAAACACATGAAGACCCCTGTCAGCAGCCCTGCGGAGTTGGAGCATTTCCCCTCCTGGGACCTAGAGGAAATGCTGCATTAGGCCACTCTCCAGCCCACATGTGGTGGGCTCACAGGGAGGGCCTGAGAAACTGCTTCCCACAAGAGGAAATAGTGCTGGAACCCCAGGCAGGTGCCCACAGCTAGGCTGCCCTAATGTCTCAGTGCTTGGCCAGGAGGATGGTGTATGGGGCAGAAAGCCAGTTCTGGAGTCCTGTCGCTTGGGTTTTGTTTTTGTCACACACACACACACACACAAACGCACTTTTCAAGAGTGCATATGTATGTACAACATGTACACGCAGGGACACTCTTAGAACCTCAGTGTCTTCATCCTTAAGATGGGGTTAATAATTCTTTCACCCCTGAGGATTGTGGGGATGGCATAAGGTGGCATCGTGAAGGACCAGATCAAATTGCTGTCTTCCTAGGGGTCTGGGGCTCTCAGTTTCTGCAGAGGCCGCGAAAGTCTTGAACCTTACTTGCAGACATCGGGCTCCACAGCTGGATTCCTCCACCCAAGGTGGCCCAGCTTAGAAGAACCAGAGCGGAGCTACGGACGCTGGGCGCCAGGCTCCCGGCGGCCTCACTGGAAGCTGCGGGCTGGGCTCCAGC